TTACATTTTATTGTGAGCTTCAGCTAATCCAGTCTGGGGTTTGACAAAGAAAATAATTCTATGGAAGGAAATTTATTCTGCTATTAATGAATGGATTCAAAATACGTAGTCTTTATCATTGTTTGCAATGACTTTATATTTTAAAGTAAGATGAAACAATTTGCTTCTACATTTAAGGACAAACGTAAGGATTGAAGTAATGTTTCACTGAAATGAGTTTTTTCTCCTAGTTTCTTTTATATTTTCCTTTGTGCTCAGTTTACTTTAATCACTGTAATGTCTAGTTTTTTACTGTACAATGACTGACAAATTATTTTTTGTTATCTTACTTATTCTTCACTTATTTAAAATTCAGTCCATAGTTTCCAAAACATTTTATAATTTCAACCTTATTCCCTTGCTATAAATCCATAAGCAGACAATGTATTTCTTTCTTGTACTCATACAGCATTCAATTACCTGCTGAATAGCAAATTTCTGATCCACATATTCTCTGCTCATCATTAAGATTCACCTTCCCAGATGTTGGTTGCTGCCTCTGAGACCTTTTCAGTTAGACTTATGCCAAACACCTCCCCAGCTCCATTGTTTTGACCTTTCCTTTTGTATAAGGGCATTGTGCAGGCATGCATACAATTTTCACACATGTTAAAAAGTCACATAAGAGAAACATATTCATTTATCAACTTTCTTCAGTTGATATGCCATGTACTATCTTTCAACATTGTCACAGAATGTACTGTACATCTTTGTTTTCATCCAGTTTTTAATCAATTGGATGTTTACATATATAGCTTTTGTTTCATTTTTACTTCTTCAACATACTATTTTCATTCTCCTATGGAACTTTAGCATTCTTTTGCTTCAGTTTATCCCAAAACATTTCATTCTTAATTCCATTCACTCTCTGAAAGTTGTTTTTTTATTTATTTTTTCAACCATTTTCAAAACATTTTATTCAATCAAATCATTTTGTATTTTGTCAGTATATTTTATTCTGAACTACTCCTTATTCTTTTTTGACTATTGTGAGACAAGGCTACCATACCGAAGATGAAGCAGGCACATAAGCAGGATGGACAAAAGCCAGGAAACTTATCTGAATCTTATCTAGAAGTCCCTTTAGGGAGGTAATTTAAGAAAGAGCCAAGTTCTTGAGGAGATGAAAGAAAAAAAATGTCACATGAATCAGACAAAAGAAGTTGAGCCTGAGAACATGGAAGCTCCCAAAGACAGATCAAGACTTGAAAATCAACAAGGCAGTCTTTACAATCAACAAAGTAAGGACTTTTGGGGGGATAAAAGGGGTCCTGAAGCCCACCCACTCTATGAATTGTGCTAGGATCCAGACTTGGCAGCTTGTGCCCCTCTGGCTAATGCTTGCCAGCCTAGTTTAGAAAAACTTGGTCTGTGTGTATGGGGTTGTGTGTGTGTGTGTGTGTGTGTGTGTGTGAATGTATCTTGTAACAAGTAAACTTTTGCTATTACTTTAGATTCACTGAGTCTCCCCGTATTCCAAAGAACCAGTTGTGCCTCCATGTTCAATTGAAAATGATTTGAGTGTGGCTGTTGACCAGGGCTATGAGTGTGAGAGTGAGTGATCATAAGCTGAACATGGGAGTAGGTGTAACACTAAATGCTTTGCAACTATTTTTTCCTCTGTATGCACATTACAGTAGCTTTTTCTCATCCTCATATTTATAGCTGTTATTGTCTTGCCTGCATAGTTTCTTACCTGCTCCTTCCTTTACTACATCATTCCACAAAGCATTCTTCATCATATTTCCCATTAACATTAAGTTCACATCCTTCCATTGTATTTTGCAACATAATTATGTCCACTGTGTTCTAAGCAGCTTCTTCATCTTTTTCTAGTATATTCACTTTCCATTCATTCAGCTGGGAAATTATTGCATAATACATTTACAGGACTCACACTGGGTTTTTTTCTTAACATTGTTCTACTTTTCTTTTTTCTTTTCTTCTTAGAATTATTTGTATTCTTAAATTCCTATTTACATCTCTATGATATGTAGCTTAAACTGTATATTTGAAACAGAAAGAAACTTTCTAGGCAGATATTCACTACTAGTCACTATTTTTATATATTCTTGGTCTCTGAGTGGTTGAATCACCTTTTCTATACTTTCTCATCTTATTTCTATCCATCCATGTCACCAAATGAATTACTTTCCCCTCCAAGTCACATTGAACTGGAGTATTTGAAATTTTTCCAAAAATTCACTAGAGCGTAACATGTAATCAACATTCTATCTCATGAGTAATATGTAAATGATAGATAGATAGATAGGTAGGTAGGTAGGTAGGTAGGTAGGTAGGTAGGTAGATAGATAGATAGATAGATAGATAGATAGATAGATAGATAGATAGATAGATAGATAGATAGATAGATAGATAGATAGATAGATAGATTGGATGATAAGGAATTTACTGGAGCTACTTCACTGGAACTACAAAAAGGACATTGATAAAGATGACAATAATTTTGAGAGACTACGAGAAAGCAGATGTTAGAACTTTGTAGGAATTAAAGATTGCTGGCAGAAAGAAGAAAAAAATACATAATTGGTTTATTTGATTATGATTAAAATAATAGTTTGCTATCTCTGGTGATGTCTACAGTTAGTCCTTGATTTATAACCAAAGTTACAATGGCCTCGGAAGGGATGCTTTACGGCCCATAAAGCACTTTCAGCCATCATAACACGTCATTCTGCCCTCTCCTGCAGTCACATGATTCCATTCCAACAACCAGCTTGCATTTATAAATAGTTGCAGCATGCTGTGGTCACATGACCATTATTTGCCATATTTCCGAAAAAAAGGCCCTTTCAGGAGAATGCATTGGCCTAATGACTGTGTGATTTTCTTAATGAAGAATGGATTTCCTTAATGACCATCTGATTTGGTTAATGAACTCTGTAAAATGGTAAAAAGAATCACGTTCAGTCACTTGGTTATCTCAACTCAAAATTCTGGTTCCAACTGTGGTTGAAGTTGAGAACTACTTCTAATGTTTTTTTAAAAAATTGGGATTGGATGATGACAGCTATTTGTGGTAATGTTTAATTAGGTTGTTGAAGGAAAAATCTTCACCAGGGTCCAGTCCAAGCCAGGAATAAACAAAATGGAGACTGCTTTAGAAAGAAGGTTGCAGTTTATTGAAGAGGAGAGCCAGACAGAAAAATTGCTCTGGGAAAACTGACAACATGTAGCTGGGAGTGATAGGTTTTTATACCTTCTTGAGCTTTTGTTTGGAGTTTTTCTTGTTTGAGGCTTTTTATTTCCTGTGTCATGTACTTTGACTTGAGTCTGAGTGTGCCCTTTTGGTATTGGTGAGTTAATCCCATTACATTTCCTGTCCTTAGAATTTGGGTGGGGGTATGTAGATTTTAGGGGTCTTTGTCTTCCTGATTTCTTCAGTTTCTAGCTGGAAGGCTCAAACCTTTCTGAAAGGATTATTTAATTTGCATTTCTAAAAGATGGCCTCAGCTGAGTTTTCTGCTTGGGGGAGAGGGGCTGGTGCTGGTTTCTGTCCTTTTTAAAAAGATCTTCTCCATTATTCCTTTGGGGAAATATATTCTGCCTTTTTAATAATCCCCAAAATATTTCTTTCTCTGGATTCTTCCCACAAGGTATAATGGATTAATTTGTAAGATTATTTTTCAGAATGTTTAATTGCTGATTGGCATTGGATTTTGTTATTTGAGGGGGGAGATTAGGGGCAATTTGCTCAAATGGAAATGGAGGTATAAATATTTCAGTTGTTATTTCTGTTAACCCTTCTTGGCTATAGCTCATTAATAAGGCAAATTGAAGATCTGGAGATGGCTTTATGAAAAACAGGGTAAGGGATGGAGAGTGTACAAGTATTTAGTTCTATTTTAATAGGCAGCAATGTTAAGGTCAATTATACTTACTGGAGAGGAAGGGGAAGTTTTGTCTTCTAATTTTTTTTCTTCCTTTTTCACATATGTGGTCCCATGCAATGTGACCACATGCCTTTGTCATTGTCTCTAAAGTGATCAACTACCCCATCTTCTTCCTACATCACCGTTGTCCTATGTCGATGGCCGCTTGCTTTAGCTGAGCTGCTGGGATGATGTTCGTGCTTTGGGTGACCCTGCTGGGAATATTTACTCTTGGTGTTCACTCCAGATATTCTTTGCTCATCCCTCCCAGGAACACACACACACCCCCAATCCATGATGCAGAGGGGACTTTGGGGGTGGGGTAGAGCAAAGCAAAGTATGTTTCAAAAATTCTTCTCAAAAATAGTATGGACCTGTTGAGAGCTTTTAATCTTCAAAAGTTAGATAAATTAGTGTGGATATCAAAGTTTTGGTCTCTTATAAGAAAAGAAGTGAATAGGGCAGTGACTAAGTAACTAATTTATTGAATTATCATCCTGACTCATTTATAGGATTTTATAAAAGTTCAAATGTTGTGGGAATCTTTTCTCTGTCTTGATTCTTTTTGTCCATACATGCAAAAATATTTGCAGAAGAAGATGTGGAATAAATGTATAGGTTTTTTGATTGATCGCATTAGGGACAATTCACTTGGGGCCGATCCTACCTAAAACTATGTGGTCATGTGGTTCTGCCTTGATAGACATACAGGAAAATGGCAGTTTGGCTGTGTGTGTGTGTGTGTGTTTGTGTGTGTGTGTGTGTGTGTGTGTGTGTACAGCAGATGCAAAAGGGGTGGTGCTGCAAAAGGGGCAGGAGAAAATAAAGGCTCCCATGAAAAGGAACCCGTCTTAGCCAGCATAATAAGAATGTTTCCTTTCAGGGAAGTGAGCACTCATGTGATGCTTGTCTTAGAGGGGAGAAATGGGGAAGTGAATGCAGCACTAAAAGGCTTTGGAGAAGAGAGGAGATCAGGAAATAAAAGCCAACCTAGAAAGATCCAGAGAGAAATGGCAAAGAAGTAAGGTCCGTACAGAAGCAGAAACAAGGATTCCGAGATCGGGCCTCCACCATGGCCTCTCGGCGAGCTGAAGGGGAGTGCAATCCCCTGTTGGAGCAGAAAGAAGCCCAGCTCAGTGGGCCAATCCCATCTCCCTTTGAGGGCAGAAAGGCTGCCTGCCTGGCTGTGCTGCTGGTGGAGATCCTGGAGCGCGCAGCTTTCTTTGGTATCGTCTCCAACCTTGTCTTGTATCTCAACAGCAGCACCTTTAATTGGGGTGGCTCCCAGGCTTCTCAGGCAGTTTTGATCTTCATAGGTGCCTCCTACCTGCTCTCGCCCATTGGGGGCTGGCTTGCCGATGCTTACCTAGGCTGCTACTGGACTATTGTCTTCAGCTTCCTGCTCTACCTTATCTCAGCATGCCTGTTGCCCACCGTGGCCTCACAGGAGGGGCGCCTCTGGTTGTGTGGAGAGATGCCATCATACCCAATACAGCCTTCGTGCCAAGGTGACATCTCAGAGTGTAAACAAGAGCTGCCAAATCCATATTGTGCCCCTCTCCTGTACACTGGTCTACTGGTCCTGGCCCTTGGCATCAGCTCCGTCAAGGCCAACCTCATTCCATTTGGTGCCGATCAGGTAAGAGATCATCTTTTGGATCTATCCTTTCTTTATTTCAAGGCAAGCAATTTGGAATTATTACTAAATTTTTCATTGGGTTGCTGGGATGGTTCTGCCCCAATAAGCCTCAGGGTTTTGCCTTAAAAACATATTTTGATGTAAGGTAATGTCTTTTATTGTTTCGTGTTTACTGATTTCAGATAGTTGTACCATATTTTTTGATACACATTTTCTAAATTATTGCCCAGTTCATAAGTTCAAAGCAGTAAGACTATAGGAAGACACAATAGTATTTTGATTTAATTAGACAAAGATAGAAAAGGCCTCTGAAAATGAAAGAAAATTTACCCAGGGCTGAAAAGGCAAACTTTGATGGCTGGCAAAGCTCTGGGATGGGGGCGGGGAGTTCCAGAACTCAAGAACATTAGCAGTCATGATGTCATGATAGTCTCCTTCCCATCAAAATGATATTTAGGCCAGGTAACCAAAGTAGCAGCACCCTTAATGCAAAAGTGAGAATGATTAACAGCCTTGGAGGAATCCTGGGGATCATATGAAGTGTTAATGGAGAGGACTAACTCTGAGAGAGGAAGTTGCCCATTAACCACAGAGGGTGTCCCTTTGTTTCCCAGCATGCCTCTGATAAGATCCACAGTAGCTGACTGTGCCTCCAAGCTAAGGTGTGGCCAGGCATGCAAGATTTTACAGCCCTTGGGATAATGTTGGGAGGGGGGAATACTGCCTTAAGGCCAGTATATCTAATAAAGATTTAAAGTTGTTTCATGCACAATCTGTAGACAATATGAAGGCAATATCATGCAAACAAACTTGTGACTCTATTATGTAAAGTACAAGCAAGGCTAAGGGCCTATTTTCAGTGGCATTTATTTCCTCCACAGCTACTGTATAAGCGCAGTGCCACTTGCAAAAAGAAGGTTTTAATACCCTCCCACCATTCCTTCTCTTGCCCATCAGTCACCACTATCCTTTCCTTTATCAAACTTGGGCCTCCATACTTTCCCATATGCAAGGAACTTCTGCTTTTTGTGCAGTGTAAAAGAGACTCATCTCCTTTCCCACGGGATAAAACATGACAGAGGTTTACTCGTATTCTCATATATATTTTTAGCCGTGACACTCTTTATATCCATTCTGCACTTGCCAATAATTTGACAAAAATTGCTAAATTATATAGCTGTTTACTAGTCTGGGCCTGCTTTATATCTGGATGTAAGAAGGGAAGGGAAGGGAAGGGAAGGGGAGAGGAGAGGAGAGATAAAGAGAAAAACAACTAACTGGACAATTCTTGCAGGGCTCAGCATATTAAGGACTAATTCAGAAGAATCAAGCCCACCCCCCCTCTCTCTCTCTCTTCATTGCAGGTGACAGACCGTGGCCAGGAAGCTACCCGACGTTTCTTCAACTGGTTCTACTGGAGCATTAACATTGGGGCTGTGCTTGCGCTGCTGGTGATTGCCTTCATCCAACAGAATGTGGACTTCCTGATTGGCTATACCATTCCTGCTGTCTGCCTGGCCCTGGCCCTTGTAATCTTCCTTCTGGCTACCCCCATCTTTGTCACAAAGCCAGCTGCTGGCAGTCAAGTTCTCACCATGTTGCATTTGGCTCTCCAGAACAGCTGTTGTGGCAAAGCATTGCAGAAAGTGACCATAAAAACCAGGTAAGGCAGACAGAGCCTCTTTGCACAAGGTGGTTTTATGGCTGCCATATATTTTTGGGTGGCCTGTGCAGGATTAGTGTCTTCATGCATTGGAACTGAATGAATCTCAGCAGTGCATTTCCATCTGCTTGGACAAGGCCTTTGAAGTAAACGTGGCTTTGCCGAATTTAGGACTGAGCGATACACCTCTTTAAACCTGTGACTCTCCCTGCAAGGGGTCAACAGGCAAATAATTGCAATATGTTCGGTGCATGTCTAGGAGAAGGAAATTGTAAAACTCCTGAATAACTACAGACTTTACTATTTTTATGGTGCAAAAGGACCTTGTGGATTGTCACCCCAAAAAGACATGATGTAATCTAGTCTAAATAGTAATGAATTTTGCTTTCTGCTTGCAGAGCATTTTTTTTAAAAAAACAAACAAACATACATGAGGAAGCATTATAAAATAGCAATCCCTAACTGCAGCTTGAAAAGATGTAGCCCACTTTACTAGCTTAAAGTATATCTCACCTCATCCTGCAGCTGGACCATAATGTCCTAAAGTGATGAACTCTTAATTTCTCTCATCTTCCAATTTGCTTATATGGATGATTGAAACTCCACGGTTAAGCCATGGGCTGAGAGAGAGATCTGTTCTACTTTTATTAGGATTTTATTATTGGAAATGGTATAAGAAAAGGCATCAAACAAGGGGGAGGAAATCTGCAGATTACATTAGGACAGTGTTTCCTAACCTTGGCAACTTTAAAATATGTGGAATTCTGGGAGCTGAAGTCCACATATCTTGAGATTGCTAAAGTTGGGAAAACATTGCATTAAGAGAAGTAGTGCAGACTCGTCTCTCACCAGGCACATAAGAAGCTGCATTCCATTGTTAGGCCTTGTATACTGCCAAAGGCAATAATATGTTGGGGTGAGGCAGTCAGAGTTGTTTTGGCAGGTCACAATGGGTAAATCCAGACAATGCATTTACGGCTTAACATTCTGTGTGATCCAGGCAAATTGTGTTTTATTCAATGAACTGGTTAAACATCATACCATAACTCAATGTTTGAGGGCTGAGTCAGAGCAGTGGTCTATCCAGCTCAGGAAAAACATTATCTATTATCAGGCCTTTTTTTCTCATAGAAAAACAAAACAAACAAAAGCTCAAGGCGGGTTGTATGACATGTGTGAGTTCCAGCACCTTTTTTTTTTTTTTTTTTTTTAGAAAAAAAGCACTGTCTATTATAACTGGTGGCTCCTTTCTAGAATTTTAGATTTTCCCAGCAGTGACCAGAATTGCTAGATGAAACTTTTGCATTCAAATAATGAACCAAATTACTGAGCAATATCCTTCCCTCATGAGGTTTCTCTGACAGCATGACTAGTGGGAAGAGAATTGCTCACTTCACTAACAAGGTTTAAGCACTTATTTATAAGATGTAATTACCTTTCCTTTTGGAACCGCTAGCCGTATACCAAGTTCTTCCTTCTCCCATTTCCCCCCCAAACAGTGACCCTTTGGGGTAGATTGGACTAAGGAAAAGTGACTGACCCAAAGTCACTCAGTGTATTTCCATGACTAGGAATTGAATCAGGGTCTTCCCAGTGCCAGTTCAATTCATTATCACTGTGTTGGCCCCACTAGGTAAATCAGACAGGAAATAAGCTCCACGGGCAGGCTGATTGCAATGTTTCTTTTCTTCCTCCTTTTTATAATTCATTGAACTAGGGAGGTGTCCGCCTGAGCCACTTCTCAATATTTTCTTATTATTCAGGATGAAATGAGATTTCGATCCCCTTTGCCTAGGCAATCAATTCTACTGGTAGTCCTCAATTTATGACTATAATAGAACCCACAATTTTCGTTGTAAGTCATGATGGTCATAAAGCGGGCACTGTATGATCAGACCTGATGTTACAAACTTTTTTGTGGAGGTCATTAAGCAAATACGGCAGACGCTAAACAAACCCATTGTTCGTTTGGAATGGTTTCGGCCAAAAATTGGAAATGCATGCTGGTTTCTGGCCAAAATGTTGTAAATTGCAGCCACTTGTCTGCAGGGTGTTGCAAACAGCTATAAATGCATGACCAGGTGGGGGGCCCGGACATTGGAACTTCAAATCCGGGTTGTAAGTAGGAGAATTTGGGGGGGGGGTGTCCATTACAACTTGAAATAATTCCCAGTCTGGTGCCCTCTGGTGGTTGGACAACAGCTTCCAGCTGGCTATGGATTATGTTCTAATCCAGCGGTTCTCAACCTATGGGTCGCGACCCCATTTGGGGTCGATCGACCATTTCACGGGGATCGCCAAGCAAGGCTGTCCACCATTTTTTCCCCCTTTTCCGGCGGGTGCCTTACCTCCCTTGAGCTGGGCCAGCTGGTGGTCGGCCTGCTCCGTCTCTGCTGCTTGCCAGCTACGCCTCGGCCGGCGCAGGGGGTGGAACCATGCATGCGCGGCGCTCCCGGGCAGGGAAAGTCCTCGACTTACGACCGGTTGGGTAGTCCTCGACTTACGACCGGTTTAGTCCTCGACGTACGACCGGTTTAGTCCTCGACTTACGACCGGTTGGGGGTCACGGCATTAAAAAGGTTGAGAACCACTGTTCTAATCCATCTAGTGGCTGGCTCTCCATTTTGGAGGAAAGGTGTTTTAGACCCAACATTTTTCTTCTCTTTTTTCTTTACAGGGCAAGGAATCCCCTGCTGGAAGCAGAAAGACCCAATCTCCTTTCAGGGGAAAGGAACCAGCCTATGGGGTCATCCTATGAACACGCCTCTAAACTCCAAGTGATGGCAAAGATCCTGCCAGTTCTGCTGACTCTCATCCCATATTGGATGGTTTATTTCCAGGTAGCGACCCTGCAGGGCACTCCTTCTTTCATATGGGAAGATGCCCTGACAGATGGGCAATAATGCCAGCAGCAGAGGAAAGCATGGGGGTTTGTTGTGTGCTGGGATGGAGCATTTAGCTGGGACCTGAGGAGGATGCCAGTTTTAATTTGCATTTTAATAGTAAGCACTTACTCCATATTTATTTAGGGATTTATATTCCATCTCTCCCCACTATTTGTCTACACGCAATTGTACAATAAGATTAAACAGTAATAGCATAAAAATGAACTTATTAAAACTGAAGACGTGCAACGATGGCAGCAAAAATCCAGCTGAAATCAGATGAAGCCTTTTATTATAATGGTTTAAGGGAGTTGCCTAGCAACAAAATTGCCCAAAAATGGCCAACAAGCAGCTTCTTTGGGCAAGCCTTCCCTGACTGCAGGGCCATTTAGAAATGTTCTCTCCTCCCCATTTGCAAGTTTCACCCCGGGGGAGCACCAGAGAAGGCTCTTGATGTTGATTTCAGTGAAAAGGGGAATTCAAACCGATGCAGTTTTCTACTTTGCAGTTTAATGCAATTAGAAGATTCTGTTTCTCACAAGTGCCTCAGAAAAGATGTAGCACCTTCAGAAATGGTCAAATCATTTTTTTTAGGGGGCAGTTTAGATGCATTTGTATTTTTTCTCTCTCCCAAAAAGTCCTTTCAACCTTACAGATGTGTCCCTAAAAATACTGATTAACTGGGTCATAGCTATGGAACACTTCACATCTGCTGCAACCGGTTAGTGGGGTAACCTGCCAGATGGCTACAATTATTGTTCCAAGGAAATTTTATACTAAATATAATTTTCTGCTGGCTCAAGAACTGATGGATATTGTTTCAGCATGTGTGTGTATGGCTGTGCCCAAAGGCAGGGCATGGGGTAAACAAGGCTCTGTCTGAGGGCTGAAATTGGTTTGCCCTTATTAAGTGTGGAATTTTGTGCAGGCTGGTTGTGCCCCTTCCTGCACTCACTGAGTCAGAGCCTCAAAGGCAGCTGCAGGAACAGTTTTGAGGGTATGGGAAAGGATAATGCTGCCCAGTTGGAGGATGTGTGTTCTAATGCTAGGTGCTGTCCAATGGTTCAGAAAACCTGTTTTCATATTTCCAGGAGATGCCAAAGACTGAACCTGGCATCTATTATATGAAAAAGATGTGCTTCATCACCAGACTACAGTCCTCCTTTTCCCTTTTTCCATGTATTTCTCTGTACTGTCCATTTCAGTAGTGCTCTGGCGAAGGACAATTAAC